TTATCATCTTATCTATTCATGGCATTGCTACCGATATGCCCTTGATGATCCCAGAGTCTACCTGTGCGCCATTTACATTTTGCTCATTCTGTTCATCTAATCGTCATAGGACTCGTCGGAATCGTAGGATCCCTCAGAACCTTCCAATCCTTCATCTTCTTCAGATGACTCTTCCTCTTCGCCCTCCTCAGGTTTCAGGCCGTAATCATCGTGGAAGTAGCTAAGCTCATGAGTCTGGACCTTGTAGCCCATGCCCTTGAACGCTGTCTCCATACCCTAAAATTTGTTAGTAATAACCAGAAAAGCCGGGGAGGGACACAAACCCCTTGCATGATCTTGGCGGCAGTGACAACAATATTGCTCTTGCCAGGCTCAAAGCATGGTAGGACAGTCTCGAGAAGAGCAGCTTTGATCTCATCCTCAGTAACGGCTCGCACGCGTCGCAGAACCTCCTTGCCCCAATCCTTAGGCAGACCGCGGACAACACCCTGGACAAAGTTCTGCTGGGCGGCGCTAGGCATGGTGGATTGTTCATCGGCGAACATAACGACGATCTGGCTGATGGTGCCCTCGAGCAAGTGACGATCAATCTCAACTTCACCTTTGGCAATCTTGGTGATAGCCTCTTTAGAGGCCTTGATAGCCTTATAAGCATCGGGTGAGCGGTAGACATGGTATGAGATGATACCGGAGTTGATATCCCGAGAGAAGTAGACGCCGTACGCGTATCCAGCACCACGAACAGCATTCCAGAGAGGACCCTCAGCAGCTTCGAGATATCCAATGGCAACCATGATGGAGGCGAGACGAGGATCGTCGAAGGAGGCCAGGCCTTGGGCTGTTGAGACTGAGTATGAGCTCTCCAGAGTAGTCATGGGCACAATGATGGCGCCAACTGATCCGGGGTTGCGGCCTTCATCGTTGAGCAGGCTCACAGGCTTAGGGATCTCAACCATGTTCTCAGCAACAGTCAGAGACTTAGAGAGCGTGTCCCAAGTAGTCAAGGGGTCTGGAAGAGTTTCGAGGTTGGCCGTGACAAGGAAACGAAGGTTCTGGAAAGTGAAAAGCGAGTCTCGAACAGTGTTGAACCAACCAACAACCTTCTCGGGTTCCTTCTCCAGGAGCTTCTTGAGCCTCTTCAGATACACTGCGCGAACAAGCACACGCTTGGCAACAGCCAGTGAGGACTTTTCCATGTGAATGGCAGCGTTGACCTCGCTGGCCATAGACTTGCCATCACGCTTTGACTCAGGGATGTCAGCCAAAGCCTTGGTAACGCTGGCCTTGAGTCGCTGGGGATCAAAGATTGAGTCAAACATCATGGTGCGGATCCACTCAACGGCAGCAGCATACTTTTCAGGCTCGACCTGAAACTGGATCATTATTCCATCAGGATCGCTGATATAGCGAGCAGAGTGGAGGGAGTAGCTGATAGTGTCTCGTTCAAGTTCCATGACAACTTGCTCAAAGCCAACTTGCTTTCCATCACGCATGATGTGTGTGTTGAAAAAGTTGTCGCTAAAGATTGGCATCAGGGGCTTGAGCTCATTGGGAACTTGGGAGGTGCCGATGTGGATAGTGATGTGAACAAAGTTGGTGGGAACATCCTCAAATTGGATAAAAAGAGGAAGCTTGCCTTGAGTTGTACCGTCAATGAGTTTCTGTGCCGAGCCACTACCCAGACCGACTGCGCGAGCATGTCCTGAGCGAGCAGTATCAGACTCAATGAAGTGGATAGAATCCGTGCTAGGAACACTCCAGCGATCGACGACAGAGGCTGGAATGGGCTCATCATTCTTCTTCTTAGCATCTTCAAGACGCTTGGCAAGCTTCTCCAGACCTTCAGCACCCAAATCCTCCTTGCGCTTGGCAATACGAGCTTCTTCATCTTTCTTCATCTTGGTGGCCAATTCATGGGAAGGCTTGCCGAGGATTGAGATGTGAGGAGCGTCTGCCATCCATTTGCTGAGGAAGTCTCGCCACTGTTGGTCTGTCCACTTCTCCAAAACATCGTACTCTTCCAAATCCTTCAGGTCCTTGAGGGTCGAGCCATCTCGTTTGCCGAAGAGGTAATCGGTGATGATATTTGTAGCGTAGAAAGACTCGGATGTCTCGGCATGGTACTTGACTTGACGCTTCTCGCGACGGATGCACTCTCTCATGTAATCCATGTCGATAGGTTTCGAGGCAACTTCCTTCAGAAGCTCAAACAATCGCTTCTCGACAAATTCAAGCTTCTCAGTAGCAACACCTGTGGGCTGCAGCCAAATGACCATGTCGGGTCGAGGGTCGGTCCAGTAAGAGACCGAACTGGCGAGCTCCTCCTTTTCAACCATGACATTCTCAAGGATGGAGACAGAAGAACCACAGAGGTATGTCAGAAGCACATTAAGGGCAGATGATTGGATAAGATCATTGCAGTTAGGTCCAAAGAAACCAACGAGGACCTCTCCAACAGATTCATCTTCTTCTGGGAACTCGACGGTCACAATCTGTGTCTCGTTGATCTTTGGGGGTTGGGCGGAGTCAATCCAAGGCCTGTGAGACTGGTCAGCAAAGCACAATCCTCTGATGATTATGCAACTTACCTCTTAAAAGGGGTATCAAGAGAAGGAATGTCATCCTTGATAGACTCTTCAAATTCTTCAAGGATCTGGATAAGCTCATCTTGGTTGACCTCACCAACAAGAACCAAGCAAAGGTTTCGGGGCTGGTACATGTCTCGATGGAACTGGCGGATACGTTCAGGAGCAAGAACTCGAAGCGCATCAGTCATGCCACCAGTCTCGTAGCGGAATCCAACGTTTTCTGGGTAGAGGAGACGACGGGCCTTGATATCCATGAGCTCAGAGCTGCGGAATTGCACAGCTTGCATTTCAGAATAGACAACACCAGCATCGTTGCCTTCGCCGTCAATGTGCCAGACCTCGGTCACGATGCTCTCATCCGTAATGGTGGGCAATATGACATGCTCGAGGTACACAGGGAGAACTTGGGCGAAACCATCCCAGCCGGCGGTTTCAAGTGTGTAAGCCGTATGGTCGGTAGCAGTCCAGGCGTTTGTGTGGGAGTATGCTCGAGAAGAGAGCTTGTCAAGAAGACCCTTGTACTGGTAGCTCTTGGAACCCATAAAGACGAGATGCTCAAGAGTGTGAGGAGCGCCAGAATCGTCAAAGATCTCAGTGGCTAAAGTGAAGTAGCCATTGAGCTTGGGACCCTTGCGGTCAGCGACAACAACCTGCATTCCACTCCGGTCTGACACATATTGAGTGATTGTGCAAGGTGCATAGTCCGTTTTGAAGCTCTGTATCTTGCGGAAATGCGACTTTGAAGGTTCTGGTGACATCTTGAAGTGTTTGAGGCCTACGAGGCTCCAAATAGAACTTGTTAAGTTAGCAAACAACTTATATATAGAAATTTGAGACGAGTCAAAGAGATAGAGGAAGGGAGTCGGGCTTATATGGTAAGAGCACATGATAATTTAGTGACGAAAGTGATATTATAAGATTTGTGAGCGATTGAGGAAACAAGAATCGGGAGTGGCGCTCATTAAAGCGAGCGGTGATTGGGTTCGACCAAGAAAAGCAACTGTGTCAATGAGAAGACATGACTAACTCAATGCTGGTAGCCGCAAGAGAAACGTTTGACATGATGGTATAGACGATAACGCTGAGCAGGGCGACTACCACTGCGACAACATATCGTGAACTGGAGTTTTTGGGTGACATCACGACAGTGAACGTCTTGGTCGATGACAGTTATTCCCAATGTGAGAGAAAGCAGCTGACAGCTATTCAGAATTCAACTCGGGCTGCATTCAACTGGAACGAAGAATCGAGGGTTTCAGCCAACTTCATACAGAGGAACAGGCAAAGTTATGCTGATATACGAATTCTCGTGAATAGCTGTTACACAGCAGCACAGATACTTCAGACCCCGCCATCAAGAGAAGAAGACTGACGAGGAAGAAATAAGGTTGAAGGACAAGGCAGACAAGGCAGAAACGCACCAAAATATGTGACACGCAATGTAGACAGTACCTGATCACAAGGAAAATACTTTACTCACCTTCAAAGATTTGTTGCCTAAGTACCGTAAGATAAGGCTGTAGGTTGCTGCGAGTAAGAATGACGAGGAGAGGAGGGGTCCAATCAGTTACTGGGAATGGGCCTGACGAGAAAAATTACCCCGCTATCGAGGTAGCACTTGGTGTAAATTGGTAACAGGAATACGACAGAAGACGGCTGAGCTGAGCTGAGCTGAGCTGAGGATGCGGAAGAAAGATTCAAATAGGTAGATACTTTATATAGAGGGGATTGAAACAAGACATTGGATATGAGCAAACATTTTGTTGAATGGGAGCAACCAACAGTGTTTTAGCTAACATCTTTTGCTCCCGCGTTAACCACAAGCACGAATTAAACCTAGGTAGGCATCGATCTATTCCGGGTATAGCCTCCGCCGTCCTCACAAATTGACCTCGGAGCACAAGCCAAATGGCCAAGGTATCGGCATTCTCAATTTTGGTTGGCACGGTCCTTGTCTTTCCATTCATGACCTCAAGAACAATACAATCCAAAAATGGGCTGTCATGAACAATCCATTAGAGTGGCGTGTGCTCGCCATTGATTGGCTGTACTACCGCTAAGCGCACTGGCCAACGTTCAGCCACTTAAGTTAGTGCTTGGCTCCAGTGGGAAAGTGGCAGGTGCTCATGACGGCACTGGAAAGTTGCCAGCTTGTGGCTGATTCTCGACTGTAACTTGCGACAGACACCAACAGCTCATGACAAGAGCCCACAGCAAAGCAAACCATGAGAATACTGATGTTTCACTTTGAACTTTGAGCTGTCCAATTGCTATTCTAGTTCCACCAGTGCAACATACCTCTATTGAGCTCCACGAACAACTCAGCAGCCGTTGTGCTAAACCCACGATACACGCATAGCTTCACCTGACGTTGCTCAACCTCCCCACGAGACTACACCTCCCTCTATCACGATGGCCGCCACAACGGAGCAAGCTCCGCAACAGCTAAGCGACGCTCTCGTCGCCTTCTCCCTCGAAGGTCGATTCCCCGACGATATCTCCGTGCTACCTCCTGTTTCTGAAACCGACCTACAACCTGCGATCCAAGCTCTGGCGAAAGCCAAGCGAGATCTGGAGGTAATATGACTCTATTCAAACGAACTTCACCCAGCTATTTTGCTCACGACGCCCACAGGCCGAGCTACACACCATCAATCAAGAAACAAAACAAGATGTTGATTCCTGGGTACGGAATTCAAAGACTCTACAGGAGGACATATTTCGCTCCAAGGCGATGGCCAATGAGATTGAACGGCAATCTGAAGCTCCTGATGTTTCCGGCGAGGCGATTCAAGATGCCGAGGAAAAGGCTGAGTTCTTGAATCGGGAAGTCCAGTACAGTCAACAGCTGCACGGCGCATTGCAAGGCATCAAACGTGTCAACCAGCTCCTAAGCGAAGTCGAAGCTGCCAAAAATGAACGTCGCATACTAGACTCGTTGCGGCTGCTCGAGAGTATGTTATAAACCTCCCCTTGCCGATATCATGCTCACCACTCGACAGAGTCATGGGAAGCAATTGACCAAATTGGTGTAAGCAAAACTTGCCGGGTCATGAAACTTTTGAATCTCCGAAGTTTCGAGCTCAAGTCTTCTGTTCATGAGGTTTTCGATCATGTCTGGAAGACATTGATTCATGCGGATATTGAAACACGCCAATTCGCCGTTTACAATGCTGTGGAGGGTAAGGAAACTGCCTCTCAGACACCACTCCCGCTAACAAGTTTTAGATGAGCAAATGAACCTTTCTGATGCAGTAGTCGGCCTTCAAGCTTACAAAGAGGTTGATGAACGTATGGAGCAGTTATGGCGAAACGTGGATGCTGCAATCATATCTCCACGTATGGAGATGAAAAACGAGACTTTGCCTACTATACTGGCAGATGGAGAGGTCCTCAAGTTATTTGGGGAAGCGCCAAGATCAGTCGATGCCCTGCTCAACGACCTAGAAACAGCCTTCGGTTTTCTCGCCCAAAAACTTCCTGCTGATCTCTTACCATCACTTGGTAACTTTATGATGGGAGACGTGATACCCAAGCTTATTGAGGAGTGGTTGGAGGTTGCAGTGCCTTCATCGCTGAAAGAAATGGACAACTTCCATGCCATGATCAAGAGCGCTCGCGAATTCTGCCAGTCGCTGACTCAACATGGATATACGGGCTTCACAGATTTACAAAACTGGGTTGACAATGCGCCGTCAATATGGCTTGGAAAGTGTCGTGAGACAACACTCGACTCTGTCCGATCCAAGTTACTTGGTGGAATCGGTGAGTCAAAACAGGTTGAGAAGGTCGAGAAGCAAATGGTATCCCTGGCAGAAGGCAAAGAGATCACCAAGACGCCAGGAGGAGCTGCAGCAAACACCGAAGCTGCTGACTGGGGAGCTGATTGGGGTGATGCTTGGGAGGAAGATAATGAGCAATCCGAAAGCCAGAACAAATCTGCCTCAAAGGGCCCGGGCTCTACGAAAGCCGACGAGGACGATGGAGCAGATGCATGGGGATGGGATGAGGAGGATAACACCACCGAGGCCAAGGATACCAAAGAAGCCCCAGAAAAGGATGATGAAGATGATAGTGCTGCTGCTTGGGGCTGGGGAGACGAGGACACAACCCAGGAGCCAGTACAGGCATCGAAACCAAAGGGCAAACCCCCTCATGCCCAGGATGAGACTCGGGAGCTCGTGCTAAAGGAGACATACAGCGTGTCGTCCATGCCTGAGCCTGTCCTTGATCTAATTTATGCCATATTAGAGGATGGTGCTGCACTAACGAGGGATGATGTGGAATATGCTCCTGTCGCAGCTACAGCGCCTGGTCTGTTTGGTCTGCCAACATTTGCATTGGCCTTGTTCAGGGCCATCTCACCTCACTACTACTCTCGAAGTGAGGGTGGCAACATGTAAGGACATTCCAAGAGATGGGGGAGCGCGTAACTAATCCGGAACAGGTTCCTATACAACGATGCTATGTATCTAGCAGAAAAGCTCTCCGAATTCGCTGATGGCTGGAAGAAGCGAGACGACTTAACACCTAGAGCGCGAAACATGCTACGGCTTGATAACGACATCAAGAGCTTGCAAGCCTTCGCCAATCGGAGCTATGCCAACGAGATGAACATCCAAAAGACCATTCTTCGAGATTTCCTTGGCGGGGCGCAAAGCATTATGCAGCAAGATGAGATGGAGGCTTGTGTCGAGTTGGCTTCGGGTCGCATCCGTGCCATGGCTTCTGTCTGGAAACCTATCCTCGCTCGTTCAGTCTGGACTCAGGCTTTGGGTTCACTCGCCGATGCTCTCGCGACCAAGCTCATCACAGACGTCCTCGAGATGTCGTCCATCGGTCAAGATGAGGCATTCAGTATCGCAAAAACAATCGCTATAGCGACTGAGCTCGACGACCTCTTCCTGCCCAGCACCCTGACAGGAACCGCCAAGTCGGAGGATGAGGTTCCTCAGACTGCCCAGTACGCCCCTAGTTGGCTACGTCTCAAGTATCTGAGTGAGGTTCTGCAGAGCAACCTTAACGAGGTGCGTTATCTATGGTGCGAAAGCGAATTGAGTCTGTACTTTTCGGTCTCTGAGGTTGTAGACCTTATTGAGGCTAGCTTCGAGGCGAACTCGAGGACGAGGGATACCATTCGTGAGATTCAGTCCAAACCTACGCCTTTGGCCGGGCGATGAGATCTTTTTTCCACGTAGACAGGAGAGCTGTTTGTGAGATGCTTTGGACATGCAGCATTTATGGCGCTTTAGAAATTAACATGTGATTATCTGACTTGTAAAGCCTTGCTCTGTTTCTGTTTTATGTTAATCACATCTCTGTTACTTTGGTTTTGATCATAATGACAAGTTCACGTCTCATCACAAACAACCACGCAAATTCCCAACAGTAAGAGTAGTTCAACGAATTATAAGGCGTTCCCCTACTTCAGAAGTATCTCGTTCTTATATAACCAGCACCATATAAAGCATTTATCTCAGGAATAACCTTTATGTTTCATCGACTTCATTTCAAACTCAAGCTACCCTATACTTGAACTACATCGAAAGGTGAGATCAAGAATTGCTTGTCCGACTAAAAAGACGATAAGACACATGCTGCTGGTTTAATTGGCAGATTCATCAGAGTAATTCTTTACTATTGCCATCTGTGGCCACTTGTTTGTGGTATCTGAACTGACATTGGGGAGAAACCACCATCGCAACCACAGACAACCTCACGAGCAATGAAGTTTCGTCACTTCGCATCTTTTAGAAACTGATCAGAACCTCACAAGCACTGAGAAGCAGACTCATCTGACAACCCCATTTCACCTTGTCCTTGACAGATGACCTCGCGTAATGACCTCTCAACACGACATATCACAATCCACAAACTCAGTCCGCCTTTCTCACCTTCGTAGCACAAACAATAGGCATCGGTCGAGTTTCCCATCGTACCATAAGCAAGTGAGCTGACTGAACGGAAACCCGCAGCAAGGCAACAAGCGGAGGAGCACAAACGCAGAGAGCACAGCATGAGGCAGCTGCCGAGATATCGCAACGTCATGTCGGCCGGATGAGTTTCTGTAAGAGGGTATTTACCTGGCTGGTATGACGACTAAATACGCCAAGACGGACGTGTATATCTCCAAGACAAGAGCGCAGCCAGTGAAAAGAGCCTCGAGCATGGCACAGCAGCTGTAGGATGCTTCATCGGAGAGAAGCGGACATGATGGCTCTGACCGTGGGTTACAGACGGGTAGCCACAGGAAAGATTGCGCATTTCAACCCAGGTCCTCCCTGTGTAATGTCTTGTGCCAGCGCATTCACCGACGAGGCAAAGCTTGTCTAACATTCGGGTGGAATCTCGGTGATGAGTCAATTCATGCCAAATCCTGATGTTGGTTGATGTTTGTTGGTCTCAACAACGAAGGCATGTGTGTGAATTTGATGACTAGCGAGCACGCATGCATGAAATGAAACATGCGGCACATGCGGAAGCGATATCCATGAATAGCTGAAGCCACGGGCGATCCGCTGCCGAGTCCCGTAGACCGAAGCAAAGGTCAGACGAAGGTCCACGTAGCATGGCATTGTTGAGCATAGCATAGCGGCAGTGACAGTTGGTTGAAACGGCGTCAGAAGATTGGACCACAAGCATCAAACAGAGCCGCACAGATCCAAAAGGATTCAAGGCAGAATCTCAAGAGGCTGGATTTCATGCCTTTCAGTGCTGGTGTTGCGCCTGTGCATGTGCTGGGCTGGGCAAACTCTCCCTTGAGTGTCAGAGTTAGACCTCCGGTGTGATGAGGCCCCTTCCATCTCCCTCAGAATCCTTTCAGGACATTTGGCCTTGTCTCAGCATATGAAGAGAATAGCTGGAGCCTAAGCTCTTACTCGTGGGTCCTTGCGGATGTTTTCCAGAAGCTCCGGGGATGTCATCCGGGCCATAGCTCTCAGAACAAGTTTTTTGTGAACTTACGAGGCCCCCGATAGAGTAGGGAATATCCATGACATTCCCATCTTTTGCAACTTCTCGTTCGAGTAATTCGTTTGCGTCGTGGATACATTTATTAGACATGGCCCCCAAGTCATGTACTTATTAGCCCCGACCAAAATAGATGTATATCTCAAACAACCGCCGTTGCTGTCATCCAACGGACTTAGACTTATGTACCTACAAGGTCCACCCCCGCACTAGGACCAGCTACTCGGGACCAAATTCGCCGTTTCACATCTCGCGGTAGTAAGGGGAACCCTACCACTCCCTCTGGCTTTACTTCTTGCACAGAACTTGCCATGTCCATGTCTTCAAAAACTCAGACAATGACTGGTCTTCACCCCGTGAAACGTGACCAGATGGATATGCGAGTGATGGCGTGAGGCCCCGGTATTGTAAGCCTGTGGGAGATTAATTCAATGCATCGACCCTGTTGTCAGACAAAGTAAATGCCGAATCCTCATGAATAGTAAACTCTACTGTACAACAAATAGATAGGGGCTGATCCTGCACTATCCGACTCGTAGGATCAACTCCTACAGTACGGAGTACGCAGCTGTGTCTATCATTGCGAAACAGAGCCCAATCTGCGTTAGTTTCAATTAGTATCGGACCGTCGAAAAGTTGGCAAACTAGTCTCGAATAGACGGCCTTCAACAGTTGCCTGTTGAGGGAGTTGACGTGGCATGCCAACACAGTCAGAATGACTATCTGTGGTGGTGAGGCTGATTAACCATTCCAACGACATGTGCTCAATTGCATCACCAAGCATGACGCCTGACTGATGACCTGTGAATATTGCCGAGCCATGTCGGCGATAACTCACCTGCATCTTGTCAAAGGGAGACAAACAGAGGTAGACTCAGCTGACAGAATGTCAAATTGATATCATTTCTCCTCGCACGCGGTGCTCCCAGTACCACCATGAATTGTGACATCCAGTCAGCATCGTTGAGCTCGACGCCATGGCTCTTTGAATTGGTGCTTTATGCATTATTGGTCTCATGATGAAAAGGCGGCCTATGCAGCACCGTACATTTATCCCTCAAAAAGCACATGCATCGAGGGTTGTTGCATCTATACGTGATGCTAGATATGGACCACACCATGGCCTCTCACGCGATGTTGATATCGAGTGCACCATATCATGGCCACGATGCCGCGCCACGCCCTTCCGATCTTGTCTATGTTTGTCGTGCCGCAGCGTCTGCAACTCACCAGGAACGGCATGCGAGGTGCTGGCTTCGCAAACTCCCACGCAGTCCAGCCCGAACTGATAGTTCGAAGCAGGGTGGCCACCTTTGCCAAACAAAAGTGACTGGTCACCTATGTAAGACGACCCATGGGGCCGGCCCGAGCCAGGGCTAGCGATTCCAGACACAACCTTCAACCAAAGACCATTCAAATGGCCGATCAGCGCTCACATATGGCAGCACCCATCAGTGGTTTTGCCAGCACAACCACCAACACAAACTTTATGGCAAATGAGATGCAGAGGAGCGGCTCGATGGGTACCCTAGGATTAATGTTCATCGTCTTCAGGGTTCCAAGGTTGCACTCGTCAGCCTACATACAGCACACAGCCAGCTGACCCGACAATTGGGCACGTACATCTCATGCTGTGCCGTAGGTGCCTAGACTTGGTGTGGTGAGATCGGCAAGGCTGAAGTCGCAAATATCCCCAATATGTTCGAGATGTGGAGTTGATATTTGCCAGCACACGAGGGTTGTGTGATGGTATTGACTATCGACAGAAACCACGGCAATCTCGATGTTGGTGTCTTGAGCTAGACGAATTGCCATGGCATTGAATTCTACCGCTTCTGTTACCAAGCATGCATGACCCAGCCAGTGTTTTCTGAGCGGCACGATGCATTTCATTTTCAAAAGGCAGCCAAGCTGTCAGACAGTATGATTTGTGATAACTGTCAAAAATGGCAAGCAGCCCGCTTGTCAATGACACCTTACAGTGTCGCGACCGAACCTCTGCCATTGGCTCCATGCTGAGGTATTTGGTGACCTTCATGCGATGCAACATGTTGACTGGTCATAGTTGATAAAGCTCTGTGGCTACACAGCATATAGCCTGTACCACAAAAACCTCTGACGCATCTTAGTTGCTGTTCCGTATAGAGAATGCCACCAGGCTGCTGGGGCCTGTGTAATGAGTCAATCAAACTATGCTGACCAAGAGATCACGCTCAGCATATATCCAGCCACTGGTGTCAATAATCTGTAGCACACGCCTCAAGACTAACAGTCAGCACCGACGCCAAAAGACGTCAAAGCTATAGCTGTCAGGGATCTCGAGTCAGGGGCCAATAAGAAGGATTCTAGAAGGCTGAGTATCTAAACGAACAGACCAAAACCCGACAACCCTCAGAATGTGAGGTAGGGGTTCTTGGTCCCTGAATGTTCCAAGCAAGGTATGCCCACCAAGAGTGGCATCCCAATCATCCGTGGTGATTTGCAAAACAACTGAGAATTGATGGATGTTTCAATGACTTTCAAAATGGCCAAAGGTTCGGGCGTCTAGAGCATGGCCTGCGGAGCTTCAATGATGCCCAACAACTTGCTTCAATATAGACGGTACAGTCCGTAGTTCGTATGGCTGTGTTGAAATTAGTGGAAGAGTGTCGTTTCGAAACCAAATCGCCAAGATTCGCGATGCCTGGCTCGATTCTCCACTGATTGCCAGGCACAGTCGATCCCCTGAGGCTATGGCGTTTGTTGGTCCAAGCCTCCGAGTTGGGCGACAGATTAAACTTTGCACATCATGTACGTATTTCGCAGTCATAGCATTGTAAGGATACCATTCCCCGAGCGCAATACTGCCGACTACCACAGCATACCATTGCGTAATGGTGCTTGTGTAACCTTCTTTGAGTCAATGACTCTTGGACTGCGAGATATCCATGAACAGAAGGAAGAAGTACACATGTAATCAAGTGCTGAATTTAGACTCTGGGCCACCAGGAAAGCTGGTCCAACGCTTTGATGGACCGGGGAGAAGTCCCGCGAAATTGTGTTGGCCGTTGAGATTGGTGGTCAGGCTTGCACAGTGAGTGTTGTCTGTTCTTCTTGAAACCGCCGTTGAGATTTTTCATCCATTCGACACAAATGTACTCTGTACCGTTGATGCAGAGTATCAAGCTCTGGGATTGATATGATGCTACCCCCCAACCTCAACTTCCCCAGG